GTCTCATCATCCTACGCGTCTAATCAACTATGGTAATTACCGTAAGAACTACGTTGTAAATACTAAGCTGAACAGGCGGTTCGGATTGGACCGGTCACGGTTACCTACACTGGTAGGAGACCGATGATCGTCAACACGCCCCCTCAATGCGAACACGCACAAATCCCGAGAGCCGCCGTCATCTCCTTGTGGCGTGGCCCGTGAAGTCCCTTCGTCATGATGTCCGCTAACATCACCGCAGTTTCACAGTACTTGAGCTTCACTTCACCGCGCTTGACCTCATCACGGATGTGATGATACTTTATGTCAATGTGCTTGGCACGGCCGTGGTTGACCGGGTTCTTCGTCATCTTGATACATGGCTGATTGTCTTCACGGATCATGAGTTCCGGTCCTTCTTCATTGGCAGCCATCATGATCTCACAAAGTAGACGATGAATCCACTTGCTCTCTTGAATCGTCAAGCTGAGTGCGATGTATTCGGCTTCACTCGTGGACAACGAAACACTTGGCTGCTTCTTGCTGCCCCAACTCACTGGCGCACCCAACAGCATGAATACGTAACCAGACGTCGACTTGCGATCAGCGAGGACACCGGCCCAGTCTGCATCCGAATAGCCACGAAAGTCGATCCTTGCACTTGGCTTCTAGCAGATTCCGTGCATCTTGGTGCCTTGTAGTTAGCGGAAGATGCGCTTGACCGCAACCCAGTGTTCTTCTTGGGGGTTCTCCATGAATCACGACACATAGTTCACGGCAAACGCAATGTCCGGGCGCGTTGCAGTGGTCAGTTGCATCAACGCACCAACAGCTTCGCGAAAAGGAGCATCGACCTAGGTGGCTGCATGACTTGAAACAAGTCGAGAGCTCATGTCGACTGGACTTGCAACTGCCTTGCAATCATCCATGCCAAAGCGCGTGGGTATGTCATCGACATACCGATGCTGGCATAGTGTCACACTTTCATCTGCGCCGTCCAAAAGCTCGATTCCAAGCACAAATGCACACTTGCCGCTGTCAGTCATCTCAAATCGTGTCTTCAGGTCGGTCTTGGTGCGTGCAATTAGCTCGCATGAGCTACCGGTGATCAACACGTCATCCACATACACCAGCAGCAGCACGCACTGCCCTTCCACGATCCTTATGTAGAGACACGGGTCGAGGCTTGACGCTTGAAATCCAATAGCACACACGAACTCGTCAAACGTTTCGTTCCATACGCGCGACGCTTGCTTGAGTCCGTAGATTGCCTTAACCAACTCCAGACAAACGAAGGAGCCCTCCAATTCCACGCCTTGTACTTGTCAATTGATCCGTCTGCTTTGCGCTTGATCTTGAAGACCCACTTCGTGCCAATGGCGCAATGTCCTTTAGGTAGCTTGGCTGCGCGGAATACTTCACGAAGTCGCATCGACTCAAGTTCCGCACGGATAGCTTCGCGCCAATGCACTTAATCAGGACCGCTCACCGCAGCTTCAAAAGTTGATGGCTCGGATAAGTCCACTGCTGTTTCAACAGCATTCGCACTCGCACGCCAAAACACAGGCGGAGTCGATGCATCAGCATTCTTTGTTTCTTCATCTTCTTCTTGGTGGGTCGTGTGATTGTCTGGCGCACTTGATTCTTCTAGTCCAGGCCGTTGACGCACTGTGCGCGTGGGTGGAGCTGGTACTCCTTCATCATGGGGACGACTCTTGCGCTTGCCTATTTGCTTGTACTGCGCTTGACCTGGCGTTTCATCATCCAAATCGAGGGAGTCGAAGTCAATGTCATCGGCGTCTTCAGTGGTGGTTGGCGGCGAAAGTCCAAAGGCGGACTCTTCAAAGTTGACATCGCAATTGGTGACCACCTGTTGCGCCTCGATGTCATAAACGCGATGCACTTTGGATGCTTCTTCGTAGCCCAAGAATATTCCAGTGCGAGCCTTGGAGTCTCACTTGAGCCGCTTCATCTTCGGTGTCAGCATGTAAACCTGACAACCGAACACCCGCATATGCTTGACACTTGGCTAGGAGTTGTGGACGATCTCGAACGGAGTCTTGTGCATAACTTTAGGCGACATCAGAAGGTTCTTGATGTAGATTGCCGTCATTGCTGCTTCTGCCCAGAAGCACTTTTCCAGCTTAGCATGGTGGAGCATGCTGCGACCAATTGTGACGATAGTCCGAACGGCGCGCTCTGCCGTGCCGTCGGTCTGGTGTGCATATGGCACCGTCGTCTGCTGCTCAATGCCTTTATCTTCGTAGAATTCTTGAAGCGAGTTGGTTGCGAACTCGCGGGCTCCGTCGTGTCGGACGAGCTTGACCTTCTTGCCAAACTGCGCTTGCACCATCTTGATGTATCGTGTGATGTAGTTTTCACTCTCCGACTTCACACGTAGACAGAAGCCCTTCTTGTATCCACTGGCTTCGTCAACGATCAGCAGTAGATACTTGCTGCCACCCAGAGAATTCATCTCCATGGGTCCGCAGATGTCGACGTGAAGTAGCTCGAAGGTGTCGTATCTGCGCTTGTCCTTGTTGCATGGGAATGGTTTTTGGACCATTTTCCCTTGTTGACATCCTCGGCATGCGCTTGATCCATTTGACGTGAGAGGTACCTTCACATCCTTGATCATGTTCGTGGCCATCATTTTGCGAAGCACATCAGCTGGAGCGTGTCCCATCCGCGCATGTAAGTCGACACCGTTGCGTCCGTTTGTTGTCGTATTGGCCGATCGATGAGCTGTGTGAAGCCAGTAAAGGCCATCCACAAGATCTGCTGTTGCCACCACTTGTTGCGATCCTTTGCGAGCGACAAACATCTTGGTCCCGTCAATCACGACTTGGAACATGCCATGCCTGTGGATCTGCGGTACCGATAGTAGATTCTTGCTCATGCTTGGTACGTAAAGCACGTTCTTGATCTCGATCTCGCGCTCTTCACCGTCGGGCAGAACCACCTTTTCAAAGATAGTTCCAACACCCTTGATGGCCATTGTGTTGCCATCCGCCACCAAGATTTCACCGTCGTTGCGCTTGTTCAGTCTTGCAAACTTGGTCTTGTCGTGGCATATGTGGTGTGTTGTACCACTGTCGACTGCCCACAATCCGGACACGTCCTTCTTCGCTGAGAGTCCACACTCTAGCGAAACTGCAAACACTACTTGATCGTAGTCGCCGTCTTCATCACGATATTGTCCCCACTGGACATTGTTTGACCCGCGTCGACGACCATTGCCGCCGCGTCGGGCTCCTCGACTTTCATTCTTCTGCTTGGTCCAACAGCGATCGACGGTGTGTCCCACCTTCCCACAGTAGGTGCACTTGTATGGCCCCGCTCATTGTTGAAGGCCTTGGCTGCATCTTTAGTCTTGACCATCGTCGCTGTTGTTGTCACCTTCTCCCCTTGGCGCTTGGTGTGCTCATTCGTGAGCACCTTCACCACATCTTGGGTACGAAGATCTGCGCTGCTCATCTCCAAGTTTAGAACAACGTTCACAAAACGCTTAGGGAGGCTGAGCAGCAGGCAAATTGCGACTTCCTCGTCCTCCATCTTTGCACCGATGCTGCTAAGCTTGGCAGCGATGTTCAGGACCTCGTTGCAGTGATGCATGACGTTGGCGCCTTCGTCCATCTTCATGCTGAAGAGTTGACGCTTGAGGTAGATCCTTCCCGCTCTCTGGGATCCACCGTACAGCACCTTCAGGCTCTGCCACGCAACCCACGCTTCCTCGCAGTTGTCGACTACATGGTGGTAGTCCGCACCCATGTGCAGCAACATCGTTCCAAACGCGATGTTGTTGGCCTTGACGTAGTCGTCCTGCGCTCGAGGGTCCACGAACACCGGGGAGCTCTCCCGGTTGACCACATGCCACACCGACTTGGTGAGGAACACACCACGCATGTATCGACTCCAGGTCGAATAGTTGTCCCCATCGAGCTTATCGATAAGGGTGTTGGAGGATGCGTGGCCGGCAGAAAGCATTGCGCTTGGGCTCATAATCTATTGAAGGTATGGCACGGGAATGACGAGAAGACCGGAATAGACCGTAGGGAGCGAAGAGGCTTGAGGAGCGGAGCAGAGAAGACTTGCTCGGCAGAAGGAGAATTCGAAAGTTATTGATTATCGGGGCTTACTACTTACTACATGATTTATATGTGGTGCACATGTAAATCATGTGAAGCGTCTCATCATCCTACGCGTCTAATCAACTATGGTAATTACCGTAAGAACTACGTCGTAAATACTAAGCTGAACAGGCGGTTCGGATTGGACCGGTCACGGTTACCTACACTGGTAGGAGACCGATGATCGTCAACACGCCCCCTCAATGCGAACACGCACAAATCCCGAGAGCCGCCGTCATCTCCTTGTGGCGTGGCCCGTGAAGTCCCTTCGTCATGATGTCCGCTAACATCACCGCAGTTTCACAGTACTTGAGCTTCACTTCACCGCGCTTGACCTCATCACGGATGTGATGATACTTTATGTCAATGTGCTTGGCACGGCCGTGGTTGACCGGGTTCTTCGTCATCTTGATACATGGCTGATTGTCTTCACGGATCATGAGTTCCGGTCCTTCTTCATTGGCAGCCATCATGATCTCACAAAGTAGACGATGAATCCACTTGCTCTCTTTGAATCGTCAAGCTGAGTGCGATGTATTCGGCTTCACTCGTGGACAACGAAACACTTGGCTGCTTCTTGCTGCCCCAACTCACTGGCGCACCCAACAGCATGAATACGTAACCAGACGTCGACTTGCGATCAGCGAGGACACCGGCCCAGTCTGCATCCGAATAGCCACGAAAGTCGATCCTTGCACTTGGCTTCTAGCAGATTCCGTGCATCTTGGTGCCTTGTAGTTAGCGGAAGATGCGCTTGACCGCAACCCAGTGTTCTTCTTGGGGGTTCTCCATGAATCACGACACATAGTTCACGGCAAACGCAATGTCCGGGCGCGTTGCAGTGGTCAGTTGCATCAACGCACCAACAGCTTCGCGAAAAGGAGCATCGACCTAGGTGGCTGCATGACTTGAAACAAGTCGAGAGCTCATGTCGACTGGACTTGTGACGGCCTTGCAATCATCCATGCCAAAGCGCGTGGGTATGTCATCGACATACCGATGCTGGCATAGTGTCACACTTTCATCTGCGCCGTCCAAAAGCTCGATTCCAAGCACAAATGCACACTTGCCGCTGTCAGTCATCTCAAATCGTGTCTTCAGGTCGGTCTTGGTGCGTGCAATTAGCTCGCATGAGCTACCGGTGATCAACACGTCATCCACATACACCAGCAGCAGCACGCACTGCCCTTCCACGATCCTTATGTAGAGACACGGGTCGAGGCTTGACGCTTGAAATCCAATAGCACACACGAACTCGTCAAACGTTTCGTTCCATACGCGCGACGCTTGCTTGAGTCTGTAGATTGCCTTAACCAACTCCAGACAAACGAAGGAGCCCTCCAATTCCACGCCTTGTACTTGTCAATTGATCCGTCTGCTTTGCGCTTGATCTTGAAGACCCACTTCGTGCCAATGGCGCAATGTCCTTTAGGTAGCTTGGCTGCGCGGAATACTTCACGAAGTCGCATCGACTCAAGTTCCGCACGGATAGCTTCGCGCCAATGCACTTAATCAGGACCGCTCACCGCAGCTTCAAAAGTTGATGGCTCGGATAAGTCCACTGCTGTTTCAACAGCATTCGCACTCGCACGCCAAAACACAGGCGGAGTCGATGCATCAGCATTCTTTGTTTCTTCATCTTCTTCTTGGTGGGTCGTGTGATTGTCTGGCGCACTTGATTCTTCTAGTCCAGGCCGTTGACGCACTGTGCGCGTGGGTGGAGCTGGTACTCCTTCATCATGGGGACGACTCTTGCGCTTGCCTATTTGCTTGTACTGCGCTTGACCTGGCGTTTCATCATCCAAATCGAGGGAGTCGAAGTCAATGTCATCGGCGTCTTCAGTGGTGGTTGGCGGCGAAAGTCCAAAGGCGGACTCTTCAAAGTTGACATCGCAATTGGTGACCACCTGTTGCGCCTCGATGTCATAAACGCGATGCACTTTGGATGCTTCTTCGTAGCCCAAGAATATTCCAGTGCGAGCCTTGGAGTCTCACTTGAGCCGCTTCATCTTCGGTGTCAGCATGTAAACCTGACAACCGAACACCCGCATATGCTTGACACTTGGCTAGGAGTTGTGGACGATCTCGAACGGAGTCTTGTGCATAACTTTAGGCGACATCAGAAGGTTCTTGATGTAGATTGCCGTCATTGCTGCTTCTGCCCAGAAGCACTTTTCCAGCTTAGCATGGTGGAGCATGCTGCGACCAATTGTGACGATAGTCCGAACGGCGCGCTCTGCCGTGCCGTCGGTCTGGTGTGCATATGGCACCGTCGTCTGCTGCTCAATGCCTTTATCTTCGTAGAATTCTTGAAGCGAGTTGGTTGCGAACTCGCGGGCTCCGTCGTGTCGGACGAGCTTGACCTTCTTGCCAAACTGCGCTTGCACCATCTTGATGTATCGTGTGATGTAGTTTTCACTCTCCGACTTCACACGTAGACAGAAGCCCTTCTTGTATCCACTGGCTTCGTCAACGATCAGCAGTAGATACTTGCTGCCACCCAGAGAATTCATCTCCATGGGTCCGCAGATGTCGACGTGAAGTAGCTCGAAGGTGTCGTATCTGCGCTTGTCCTTGTTGCATGGGAATGGTTTTTGGACCATTTTCCCTTGTTGACATCCTCGGCATGCGCTTGATCCATTTGACGTGAGAGGTACCTTCACATCCTTGATCATGTTCGTGGCCATCATTTTGCGAAGCACATCAGCTGGAGCGTGTCCCATCCGCGCATGTAAGTCGACACCGTTGCGTCCGTTTGTTGTCGTATTGGCCGATCGATGAGCTGTGTGAAGCCAGTAAAGGCCATCCACAAGATCTGCTGTTGCCACCACTTGTTGCGATCCTTTGCGAGCGACAAACATCTTGGTCCCGTCAATCACGACTTGGAACATGCCATGCCTGTGGATCTGCGGTACCGATAGTAGATTCTTGCTCATGCTTGGTACGTAAAGCACGTTCTTGATCTCGATCTCGCGCTCTTCACCGTCGGGCAGAACCACCTTTTCAAAGATAGTTCCAACACCCTTGATGGCCATTGTGTTGCCATCCGCCACCAAGATTTCACCGTCGTTGCGCTTGTTCAGTCTTGCAAACTTGGTCTTGTCGTGGCATATGTGGTGTGTTGTACCACTGTCGACTGCCCACAATCCGGACACGTCCTTCTTCGCTGAGAGTCCACACTCTAGCGAAACTGCAAACACTACTTGATCGTAGTCGCCGTCTTCATCACGATATTGTCCCCACTGGACATTGTTTGCCCCGCGTCCACGACCATTGCCGCCGCGTCGGGCTCCTCGACTTTCATTCTTCTGCTTGGTCCAACAGCGATCGACGGTGTGTCCCACCTTCCCACAGTAGGTGCACTTGTATGGCCCCGCTCATTGTTGAAGGCCTTGGCTGCATCTTTAGTCTTGACCATCGTCGCTGTTGTTGTCACCTTCTCCCCTTGGCGCTTGGTGTGCTCATTCGTGAGCACCTTCACCACATCTTGGGTACGAAGATCTGCGCTGCTCATCTCCAAGTTTAGAACAACGTTCACAAAACGCTTAGGGAGGCTGAGCAGCAGGCAAATTGCGACTTCCTCGTCCTCCATCTTTGCACCGATGCTGCTAAGCTTGGCAGCGATGTTCAGGACCTCGTTGCAGTGATGCATGACGTTGGCGCCTTCGTCCATCTTCATGCTGAAGAGTTGACGCTTGAGGTAGATCCTTCCCGCTCTCTGGGATCCACCGTACAGCACCTTCAGGCTCTGCCACGCAACCCACGCTTCCTCGCAGTTGTCGACTACATGGTGGTAGTCCGCACCCATGTGCAGCAACATCGTTCCAAACGCGATGTTGTTGGCCTTGACGTAGTCGTCCTGCGCTCGAGGGTCCACGAACACCGGGGAGCTCTCCCGGTTGACAGCATGCCACACTGACTTTGTCAGGAACACGCCACGCATGTATCGACTCCAGGTCGAATAGTTGTCCCCATCGAACTTATCGATAAGGGTGTTGGAGGATGCGTGGCCGGCAGAAAGCATTGCGCTTGGGCTCATAATCTATTGAAGGTATGGCACGGGAATGACGAGAAGACCGGAATAGACCGTAGGGAGCGAAGAGGCTTGAGGAGCGGAGCAGAGAAGACTTGCTCGGCAGAAGGAGAATTCGAAAGTTATTGATTATCGGGGCTTACTACTTACTACATGATTTATATGTGGTGCACATGTAAATCATGTGAAGCGTCTCATCATCCTACGCGTCTAATCAACTATGGTAATTACCGTAAGAACTACGTCGTAAATACTAAGCTGAACAGGCGGTTCGGATTGGACCGGTCACGGTTACCTACACTGGTAGAAAACCAATGACCGTCAACCCATTCTTTCAAGTTCTTCAAGCTTCGTTCGCTCGCCCAGTGCTCGATAAAACTTAACAGGTTATGGGTCCAAGCGCGATGTCCTCTGCTCATGATGCCACCACCAAGATCTCCATTGACAAGTTCGATGGAGACAACTACGCGACTTGGAGCCGCTACATGCGTGGCGTGTTCCTGACCAAGTCGACGTGGCACGTGGTGAACCGGGAGACGTCGCCGACCTACACGGACGATCGCGCCATGGACGACTACGTCAAGGCCAACAACATCGCTTTCGGACTGATGTTGCTGCACATGGACGCAGACTACCATCACATCGTCGATGACTGTGAAAAGGCGTGGGTCGCGTGGGCGCGTTTGAAGACGCTGTACGGCGGGTCGCAGAAGGCTGGGCGCATCTACTTGAAGCAACAGCTGTTCAGCATGAAGATGGCGGAAGGCGGCAATGCAATGCATCATTGCAACGAAGTCCTCAACATCAGCGCCAAGCTCAGCGGCATCGGCGCCAAGATGGAGGATGAGGACGTGGCGATCTGCTTGTTGTTGTGCAGTCTCCCCAAGAGCTACGAGAATGTCGTTCTCAACTTGGAGATGAGCAGCGCGGAACTGCGGACGCAAGACGTCGTGAAGGTGCTGACTAATGAGCACATCAAGAGGCAAGGAAACAAGACGACATCGGTGAAAACTGAAGAAGCGACGAAGGCCTTCAGTACCGAGCGTGAGGTTCGTCAGTGTACGTTCTGCGGAAAATTGGGGCACACGGTGGAAAAGTGCTGGACCAAGCAGAAGGAAGACAACCGAGGAGCTCGACGCGGCGGCAATGCTCGTGGACGCGGAGCAAATCAAGTCCAGTGGCAAAGCTACAACGGCAACAACAACTATGACTATGATCGAGTGGCGTTTGCTTTTCTCTGGAATGCGGACTTTCAACGACAAAAAGCATGTCTGGAATGTGGGCGATTGACAGCGGTGCAACACATCACATCTGCTATGACAAGTCCAAGTTCGATGTTCTGGACGAGCGCAATGAAGGTGAAGTGTTGGTTGCAGATGGAAACAAGGCTATTGAGGGGTGAAAAGCTTGACGACCGAAACTGGGAGTGATGCTGGTAGTCCACTCGGAAGACCGGAGAAGAAACTTGGGGGTAGATGGAAGATTCGAAAGTGATTGATTATCGGGGCTTACTACTTACTACATGATTTATATGTGGTGCACATATAAATCATGTGAAGCGTCTCATCATCCTACGCGTCTAATCAACTATGGTAATTACCGTAAGAACTACGTCGTAAATACTAAGCTGAACAGGCGGTTCGGATTGGACCGGTCACAATTACCAGTACTGGTAGAAAACCGATGACCGTCAACACGCCCCCTCAATCCGAACTCGCACGAATGCCGAGAGCCGTCGTCATCTCCTTGTGGCGTGGTCCATGAAGTCCCTTCGTCATGATGTCCGCTAACATCACCGCAGTTTCACAGTACTTGAGCTTCACTTCACCGCGGTTGACCTCATCACGGATGTGATGGTGCTTGATGTCGATGTGCTTGGCGCGGCCATGATTCACCGGATTCTTCGTCATCTTGATGCACGACTGGTTGTCTTCACGGATGACGAGGTCCGGTCCTGGTTCGTTTGCGGCCGCCAAAATCTCGCATAGCAGGCGATGCACCCACTTGCCTTCCTGGATGGCCAGACTCAGTGCGATGTATTCCGCTTCACTCGTCGACAGCGACACACTTGACTGCTTCTTGCTTCCCCAACTCACAGGAGCACCCATCAGCATGAAAGTGTAACCCGAAGTCGACTTGCGATCAGCGTGGTCGCCGGCCCAGTCCGCGTCCGTGTAGCCACGAAAGTCGATCTTGTCGCTTGGCTGGAAACGGAGTCCGTGCGACTTGGTCCCTTGCAAGTAACGAAAGATGCGCTTCACCGCCGTCCAATGTTCTTGCTGCGGATTCTCCATGAAGCGCGAGACGTACCCCACAGCATACACAATGTCCGGGCGCGTCGCAGTCGTCAAGTGCATCAAAGCTCCCACAGCTTCACGAAACGGAACGTCGATCTTGGCCGCTTCGCTGCTTGCGACAAGCCGAGTGCTTAAGTCGACCGGACTTGCTGTGGCCTTGCACTCATCCATGCCGAAGCGCTTGAGGATGTCGTTGACATACCGTCGCTGGCACATCGTCACGCTGCCATCCGATTCGTCCACCAGTTCGATGCCCAGTACAAAAGTACACTTGCCACTGTCGGTCATCTCGAAACGCGTCTTGAGGTCGGCCTTCGTCTGCGCAATCAACTCGAGCGAGCTGCCAGTGACCAACACGTCATCCACGTAGACCAGCACGAGCACACAGTGACCGTCGACAACCTTGATGTAGAGACATGGGTCGAACGCCGACGCTTCAAAACCGATAGAGCATACAAACTCGTCGAAAGTCTCGTTCCACACACGTGAAGCTTGCTTGAGATCGTAGATCGCCTTCACCAACTCGAGACAGTCGGAGTCGCCATCCATCTCGACGCCTTCTGGTATCACGCAGTACACCTTCTCCTTCATCACTCCGTAGAGAAAGGCTGTCACCACATCGAGTTGGTCCAGTGGCCAGTCGAAATACTTGGTGATCGCGATCACCATACGCAGTGTCACGTACTTGACCACGGGCGAGAACGTCTCTGTGTAGCCGATGCCGTACTTCTGCTTGAAGCCCTTGGCAACGAGACGCGCCTTGTATTTCTCGACCGATCCATCCGCTTTGCGCTTGATCTTGAACACCCACTTGGTGCCGATCGCGCCTTGGCCTCTTGGCATTTTTGCCGCACGGAAAACTCCACGAAGATGCATCGACTTGAGTTTTGCCTTCACAGCATTTCGCCAGTGAGCTTGATCAGGACCATTGATCGCGTCTTGAAAAGTCACAGGTTCTGCTAGGTCCGTTGCTTCCACTGCGTTTGCACTTGCACGCCAAAATGTTGGAGGTGTCGAGTCGTCATCTTGATCGTAGACGCTTGCATCTTCTTCGTCACCAGACATCGTTTCTGGAGCACTTGATCGTCGTTTCTGGTGACGGTTGGAGACGTGTTCCGGCGCACTTGCTTGTTCCAACCCAGTTCGAGGGCGAGCTGAACGTGACATGCCGTGTCTTGCTTCACTCTTGCGCTTGCCAGTCTGCTTGTAGACGGTTTGACGCATGTCGTCCTCGTTGATCGCCAGGAGGTCGAGGTCCAACTCCGCATCTTCATCATCGTCACTTGGTCGGTCCATCGAAAAGTCAAAAGTCGATTCGTCGAAGGTGATGTCACGACTGATCACCACTTGGCCCGCCTCAATGTCGTACACTCGATAAGCTTTTGACGCTTCTTCGTAGCCCATGAATATCCCTTCACGAGCCTTCGGGTCCCACTTCAATCGCTTCTCCCTTGGTGTCAGGATAAACGCCCGACATCCAAACACGCACATGTGCTTGACACTTGGTTTCGACTTGTACACGATCTCGACCGGAGTCTTGTGGTCGATCTTGGGTGAAGGCAGGCGGTTCTTGATGTAGATCGCCGTCATTGCCGCTTCAGCCCAGAAACACTTCTCCAGTTTTGCATGATGCAACAGGCTGCGTCCGATCGTGACGATGGTCCTTATCGCGCGTTCTGCGGTGCCGTTGGTCTGGTGTGCATACGGCACCGTGATCTGTTGTTCGATACCATGATCTTCGTAGAAGGTCTTGATGAAGTTGGTCGCAAACTCATGCGCTCCATCGTGCCGAACAAACTTGATCTTCGTGCCGAACTGAGTTTGAATCTTGATGATGTGGTTCTTGATACAGTCTTCACTCTCAGACTTGGACCGCAGACAGAAGCCCTTCATGCAACCGCTAGCTTCGTCAACCACAAGCAGTAAGTATCTGCTGCCGCCGATCGAGACTTGTTCCATTGGCCCGCAGATGTCGAAGTGCAGCAACTCGAACACACCATATTGGCGTTTGTCACGGTTGGTTGGGAATGGTTTTTGGACCATCTTTCCTTGCTGGCAACCGCGACACACACTTGGACCAGTCGAGTTGAGAGGTGCCTTGGCGTCCTTGATCATGCCAGTGGCCACCATCTTGCGCAGAACTTCAAGGGGTGCATGACCCATGCGCGCATGCAAGTCGATAGTCCCATTGCGTGTTGCTGCATTCGCCGATCGTTGAGGAGTCCGCAGCCAGTAAAGTCCATCGACGAGATCCGCTGTTGCCACGACTTGTGTGGAATTCTTGCGCTTCACTTGCATCTTGGACCCATCGAACACGACTTGGAACCTGCCACCCTTGTTGATCTGTGGCACCGAAAGCAGATTCTTGCTCATACTTGGTACGAACAGTGCGTCCTTGATCTCGATGTCGCGTTCGTCACCATTGGGCAGAACCATCCGTTCCATGATGGTTCCCACACCCTTGATCGCAGCCTTGCTGCCATCAGCCACTGATAGTTCGCCTTCCTCTCGCTCATTCAGGCTTGCAAACTTGGCCTTGTCGTTGCAGATGTGATGCGTCGCACCGCTGTCGACTGCCCACATACCTGGCATATTCTTGCCCGTAGAAAGTCCAGCCTCCAGCGAAACCGCGAACGCAACTCAATCGTAGTTGTCGTCGTTGTTGTTGTTGGTTCGCCACTGAACGTTGTTGGCTCCGCGTCCACGAGCATTGTTGCCGCCGCGTCGAGCTCCACCTTGATTTTCGTCCTTCTGCTTGGTCCAGCACCGCTCCGCCGTGTGCCCCAATTTTCCGCAGTATGCACACTGGCGAGGTTCACGCTCGGTACTGAACGCCTTCGCCGCGTCTTCAGTCTTCACCGATGTCGTCTTGTCACCTTGCCTCTTGATGTGCTCATTCGTGAGCACTCTCACGACGTCTTGCGATCGTAGTTCCGCGCTGCTCATCTCCAAGTTGAGAACGACATTCTCGTAGCTCTTGGGGAGACTGCACAACAACAAGCAGATCGCCACGTCCTCATCCTCCATCTTGGCGCCGATGCTGCTGAGCTTCGCGCTGATGTTGAGGACTTCGTTGCAATGATGCATCACATTGCCGCCTTCCGCCATCTCCATGCTGAACAGCTGGCGCTTCAAGTAGATGCGTCCAGCCTTCTGCGACCCGCCGTACAGCGTCTTCAAACGCGCCCATGCGACCCACGCCTCTCCACAGTCATCAACCACGTGATGATAATCTGCGCTCATGTGCAGCAGCATCAAGACGAACGCAATGTTGTTCGTCTTGACGTAGTCGTCACTGGCGCGAGGATCGGCGAAGGTGGGGGTGGTCTCCCGGTTCACCACGTGCCACGCCGACTTGGTCAGGAATACGCCACGCATGTAGCGGCTCCACGTCGCGTAGTTATCGCCGTTGAACTTGTCAATGGAGATCTTGGTGGTGGCATCATGAGCAGAGGACATCGTGCTTGGGCTCATAACCTATTGAGGGGTGAAAAGCTTGACGACCGAAACTGGGAGTGATGCTGGTAGTCCACTCGGAAGACCGGAGAAGACACTTGGGGGTAGATGGAAGATTGGAAAGTGATTGATTATCGGGGCTTACTACTTACTACATGATTTATATGTGGTGCACATATAAATCATGTGAAGCGTCTCATCATCCTACGCGTCTAATCAACTATGGTAATTACCGTAAGAACTACGTCGTAAATACTAAGCTGAACAGGCGGTTCGGATTGGACCGGTCACGGTTACCAATACTGGTAGAAACCGATGACCGTCAACAAAGGCTGCAATCAACGGCGTTGGAACAATCATCGAAAAAGTGATCCTGTCCAGTGGTAAAGAGCGCTGAAGTCGAGATCAAGAACGCGCTTTACGTCCCAAGCATGAACAAAAACTTGCTTTCGATACCACAAATCAACAAAAGCGGCAAGTTTCAAGTGGTGTTTGATGGTGACGAGATGAAGATTTCGCACAAAGGCTCTAAGCAAGTAATAGCGATGGCTGATCTTGTGGATGGCCTCTACTGGCTTCGTGCATCCCAACGATCGGTGAATGCGGCTTTAGGACCAAGAGTCGAAAACCTTCATGCGCGTGTGGGCCACGCACCGGTTGATGTCTTGTGCAGAATGGTCTCCAAGGGCATGATCAAGGATGCCAAGAAGCCAACAAAATCGAGCGGATCAAGCGTGTGCCAAGGTTGTCTAGAAGGAAAAATGGTTCAACGACCGTTCCCAAGCAATCCAAACAAGCGCAACTACGATCCGTTTGAGCTTCTACACATCGACACTTTTGGTCCAATGGAAGTCGACTCGCTAGATGGAAGCAAGTACTTGCTACTGATCGTCGATGAAGGCAGCGGATGTATGAAGGGTTTCAGTCTGCGCGCCAATTCCGACAGCGAATGTGCATCAAGAAGTACATCATGGCAGTACATACGCAGTTTGACTACAAGGTCAAGTTCATTCGACACGATGGTGCACGCGAATTTGCGGCGAATTCGCTCAAGGCATTTTACGATGATCAAGAAATCGAGCAGCAAGTTACCGTTCCGTATGCACATCAGACCAACGGCACGGCGGAACGGGCAATTCGGACCATTATGACGATCGGGCGCAGCATGCTTCACTACGCCAAGCTGGACGAGTTTTTTTGGGCTGAAGCAGCAACGACGGCGATCTACATCAAGAATTGCCTACCATCGCCCAAGTGCCAAGATCAAACCCCGTTTGAGAGTGTCAACGGATTTCGACCAAGTGTGAAGCTCATGCGGGCTTTTGGCTGTGTTGCATTGTAGATCGGAGCGAGGAAAGCGGAGCGAACGGAGCGGAGAGACCGAAGAGAGTAGAGCAGAAAACACTTGCCCAATAGTTGGAAGATTCGAAAGTGATTGATTATCGGGGCTTACTACTTACTACATGATTTATATGTGGTGTACATATAAATCATGTGAAGCGTCTCATCATCCTACGCGTCTAATCAACTATGGTAATTACCGTAAGAACTACGTCGTAAATACTAAGCTGAACAGGCGGTTCGGATTGGATCGGTCACAATTACCAGTACTGGTAGGAAACCGATGACCGTCAACACGCCCCCTCAATCCGAATGCTCACGAATCCCGAGAGCCGTCGTCATCTCCTTGTGGCGTGGTCCATGAAGTCCCTTCGTCATGATGTCCGCTAACATCACCGCAGTTTCACAGTACTTGAGCTTCACTTCACCGCGCTTGACCTCATCACGGATGTGATGGTACTTGATATCAATGTGCTTGGCACGGCCGTGGTTGACTGGGTTCTTCGTCATCTTGATACATGACTGATTGTCTTCATGAATCATGAGTTCCGGTCCTTCTTCATTGGCAGCCATCATGATCTCACAAAGCAGACGATGAATCCACTTGCCCTCTTGAATCGCCAAGCTGAGTGCGATGTATTCAGCTTCAGTCGTGGACAACGAAACACTTGGCTGCTTCTTGCTGCCCCAACTCACTGGCGCACCGAGTAGCATGAACGTGTACCCCGATGTTGACTTGCGGTCGGTAAGATCACCAGCCCAATCCGCATCCGAATATCCACGGAAGTCGATCCTTGCACTTGGCTTGTAGCAAATTCCATGCGTCTTGGTGCCTTGTAGGTAGCGAAAGATACGCTTAACTGCAACCCAGTGTTCTTCTTGGGGATTTTCCATGAACCGCGACACATAGCCCACAGCAAACGCAATGTCCGGACGCGTTGCAGTGGTCAGGTGCATCAACGCACCAACAGCTTCGCGAAAAAAAAAGGAGCATCTACCTTGGTAGTTGCATCACTTGAAACAAGTCGAGAGCTCATGTCGACTGGACTTGCGACTGCCTTGCAATCATCCATGCCAAAGCGCTTGAGGATATCATCGACATACCGACGCTGACATAGTGTCACACTGCCATCTTCACCGTCCAAAAGCTCAATTCCAAGAACAAATGCACACTTGCCGCTATCAGTCATCTCGAAGCGTGTCTTCAGGTCTTCCTTGGTGTGTGCAATCAACTTGGGTGAGCTTCCTGTCACCAACACGTCATCCACATAGACCAGTATAAACACGCAATGGCCGTCCGAAGTCTTGATGTAGAGACATGGGTCGAAGCCTGACACTTGAAATCCAATGGAACACACACTCGTCAAAAGTCTCGTTCCATACTCGCAAAGCTTGCTTCAGGCCGTAAATTGCCTTCACCAATTCCAGGCAGTCGAACGTACTGTCAAGTTCGACGCCTTCAGGAATCACGCAGAACACTTGTTCCTTCATGACGCCATACAGGAAAGCTGTCATCACATCAAGCTGGTCGATGGGCCATCCAAAATGCTTGGAAATTGCGATCATCTTTCGCAGCGTCACATACTTGACCACGGGCGAAAACGTCTCCGTGTAGTCGATTCCATACTTTTGGCGGAAACCCTTGTCCACAAGTCGTGCCTTGTACTTCTCGATTGACCCATCCGCCTTGCGCTTGATCTTGAACACCCATTTTGTGCCAATGGCGCGTTGTCCGTTGGGCAGCTTGGCTGCACGAAACACACCGCGAAGTCGCATTGACTCGAGCTCTGCATGAATTGCTTTTCTCCAGTGCACTTGGTCAGGGCCGCTTACTGCTGCTTCAAATGTTGAGGGCTCTGATAAGTCCACTGCTGCTTCAACGGCATTTGCACTCGCACGCCAAAACACAGGCGGTGTTGAATCACCAGAATCCTTCGTTTCTTCGTCTTCTTCTTGTCGTGACGAGTTGTTTTCCGGCGCGCTTGACTCTTCTAGTCCTGGTCGTTGACGCACTGCACGCGGTCGTGGAGCTGCTGTATCTTCATCATTGAGTCGGTTCTTGCGCTTGCCTGTTTGCTTGTACTCCATTTGACGCAGCTCTTCGTCATCAAGATCCAGCAATTCGAAGTCCAGGTCATCGACATCTTCATCAGTGATCGGCAGTTGAAGTCCAAAGGTGGACTCGTCGAGGTTGACATCCCGAGTGACAACAACCTGCCCCGCCTCGATGTCAAATACACGATATGCCTTCGAAACTTTTTCATATCCCATGAAGATGCCAACACGAGTCTTGGAATCCCACTTGAGTCGCTTCTCTTTAGGCGTCAGTATGTATGTCTGACACCCGAATGTTCGCATGTGCTTGACGCTTGGTTTCAAGTTGTAGACGATCTCAAACGGGGTCTTGTGCACGACTTTAGGTGACGGCAGTCGATTCTTGACGTAGATGGCCGTCATCGCTGCTTCGGCCCAGAAACACTTGTCCAGTTTGGCATGATGAAGCATGCTGCGGCCGATCGTGACAATAGTCCTAATTGCACGCTCTGCTGTTCCGTTTGTTTGATGTGCATACGGCACCGTTGTCTGCAGTTCAATGCCTTCGTCTTCGTAGAACAGTTGAAGCGAGTTGGTTGCAAACTCGCGAGCTCCGTCGTGTCGCACGAACTTGACCTTCTTACAGAATTGCGTCTGTACCATGGTGATATATTTCCGGATGTAGTCTCCACTCTCGGACTTCACTCGTAGACAAAAGCCCTTCATGCATCCACTGGCTTCGTCGATGATCAGCAGCAAATATTTGCTGCCACCGAGCGAATCCTTTTCCATGGGCCCGCAGATGTCCAGACGAAGTAGCTCAAACGTATCGTAGCTGCGCTTGTCTCGGTTGCTTGGAAATGGTTTTTGGACCATTTTCCCTTGTTGACATCCTCGACATGTAGTTGCTCCACCCGACTTGAGAGGGACTCGCACATCCTTGATCATGTTGGTCGCGATCATCTTGCGAAGTACATCGACTGGAGCATGACCCATTCTCGCATGTAGATCGGCACAACTGGTTCCACTTGTTGTCACATTAGCTGATCGTTGAGTCGTCCGAAGCCAGTAGAGTCCATCCACGAGATCCGCTGTCGCCACCACTTGCTGTGAGTTCTTGAGAGTCACATACATCTTGGACCCGTCAAACACGACTTGAAACTTGCCATGGCTGTTAATCTGTGGCACCGAGAGCAGGTTCTTGCTCATACTTGGAACATATAGCGCGTTCTTGATTTCGATCTCACGCTCTTCACCGTTGGGCAGAACCACCTTTTCCATGATGGTTCCCACACCCTTGATGGCCACCTTGTTGCCATCAGCCACCAAGAGTTCGCCCTCATTGCGCTCTGCCAAACTTGCGAACTTGGTCTTGTCGTGGCAAATGTTTTGCGTTGCACCACTGTCGACGGCCCACATTCCAGACACGTCCTTGCTCGTCGAAACTCCACATTCGAACGAGACTGCAAACGCCACTCGATCGTAGCCATTGCCTTCATCATGATGTCCCCACTGGACATTGTTAGCCCCGCGTCCACGACCATTGCCGCCGCATCGGGCTCCCCGACCTTCGTTCTTCTGCTTTGTCCAGCAACGATCCACCGTGTGTCCCACCTTGCCACAATACGTGCATTGGTAGGGCTCACGCTCGGCGCTGAATGCCTTGCTTGCATCTTCAGCCTTCACCGTAGTCGCTGTCGTTGTCCCTTTTTCTCCTTGACGCTTGGCATGCTCATTCGTCAGGAATCTCACCACATCTTGAGTGCGAAGCTCGGTGCTGCTCATTTCCATGTTGAGCACCACATTTTCGTAGCTCTTCGGAAGACTGAGTAGCAGACAAATTGCAACGTCTTCGTCTTCCATCTTCGCACCGATGCCGCTAAGCTTGGCGGAGATGTTGAGGACCTCGTTGCAGTGATGCATGACGTTCGCGCCTTCAGCCATCTTGATACTGAAAAGTTGTAGCTTGAGGTAGATGCGTCCTGCCTTCTGCGACCCACCGTACAGCGTCTTCAGACTTGTCCACGCAACCCAGGCTTCCTCGCAGTTGTCCAGCACATGATGGTAGTCCGCGTTCATGTGCAGCAGCATCATACCAAACGCGACGTTGCTTGCCTTGACGTAGTCATCGGACGCTCGCGGGTCGGTGAAAGTCGGAGTCACTTCACGGTTGACGACGTGCCAGACGGACTTCGTCAAAAACACACCGCGCATGTACCGGCCCCACGTTGCGTAATTGTCTCCGTTGAACTTGTCAATGGAGGCGTTGCTGGTGGACGACATGGCGCTTGGGCTCATAACCTGTTGCATTGTAGATCGGAGCGAGGAAAGCGGAGCGAACGGAGCGGAGAGACCGAAGAGAGTAGAGCAGAAAACACTTGCCCAATAGTTGGAAGATTCGAAAGTGATTGATTATCGGGGCTTACTACTTACTACATGATTTATATGTGGTGTACATATAAATCATGTGAAGCGTCTCATCATCCTACGCGTCTAATCAACTATGGTAATTACCGTAAGAACTACGTCGTAAATACTAAGCTGAACAGGCGGTTCGGATTGGATCGGTCACGGTTACAAATACTGGTAGAAAACCGATGACCGTCAACACCGATCGTTACAATAGTCCTAATGGCACGCTCTGCTGTTCCGTGTGTTTGATGTGCATACGGCACCGTTGTCTGCTGTTCAGTGCCTTCGTCTTCGTAGAACAGTTGAAGCGAGTTGGTTGCAAACTCGCGAGCTCCGTCGTGTCGCACGAACTTGACCTTCTTACAGAATTGCGTCTGTACCATGGTGATATATTTCCGGATGTAGTCTTCACTCTCGGACTTCACTCGTAGACAAAAGCCCTTCATGCATCCACTGGCTTCGTCGATGATCAGCAGCAAATATTTGCTGCCACCGAGCGAATCCTTTTCCATGGGCCCGCAGATGTCCAGATGAAGTAGCTCAAACGTATCGTAGCTGCGCTTGTCTCGGTTGCTTGGAAATGGTTTTTGGACCATTTTCCCTTGTTGACATCCTCGACATGTAGTTGCTCCACCCGACTTGAGAGGGACTCGCACATCCTTGATCATGTTGGTCGCGATCATCTTGCGAAGTACATCGACTGGAGCATGACCCATTCTCGCATGTAGATCGGCACAACTGGTTCCACTTGTTGTCACATTAGCTGATCGTTGAGTCGTCCGAAGCCAGTAGAGTCCATCCACGAGATCCGCTGTCGCCACCACTTGCTGTGAGTTCTTGAGAGTCACATACATCTTGGACCCGTCAAACACGACTTGAAACTTGCCATGGCTGTTAATCTGTGGCACCGAGAGCAGGTTCTTGCTCATACTTGGAACATATAGCGCGTTCTTGATTTCGATCTCACGCTCTTCACCGTTGGGCAGAACCACCTTTTCCATGATGGCTCCCACACCCTTGATTGCGGCCTTGTTGCCGTCAGCTACCAACAGTTCGCCCTCATTGCGCTCTGCCAAACTTGCGAACTTGGTCTTGTCGTGGCAAATGTTGTGCGTTGCACCACTGTCGACGGCCCACATTCCAGACACGTCCTTGCTCGTCGAAACTCCACATTCGAACGAGACTGCAAACGCCACTCGATCGTAGCCATTGCCTTCATCATGATGTCCCCACTGGACATTGTTAGCCCCGCGTCCACGACCATTGCCGCCGCATCGGGCTCCCCGACCTTCGTTCTTCTGCTTTGTCCAGCAACGATCCACCGTGTGTCCCACCTTGCCACAATACGTGCATTGGTAGGGCTCACGCTCGGCGCTGAATGCCTTGCTTGCATCTTCAGCCTTCACCGTAGTCGCTGTCGTTGTCCCTTTTTCTCCTTGACGCTTGGCATGCTCATTCGTCAGGACTCTCACCACATCTTGAGTGCGAAGCTCGGTGCTGCTCATTTCCATGTTGAGCACCACATTTTCGTAGCTCTTCGGAAGACTGAGTAGCAGACAAATTGCAACGTCTTCGTCTTCCATCTTCGCACCGATGCCGCTAAGCTTGGCGGAGATGTTGAGGACCTCGTTGCAGTGATGCATGACGTTCGCGCCTTCAGCCATCTTGATACTGAAAAGTTGTAGCTTGAGGTAGATGCGTCCTGCCTTCTGCGACCCACCGTACAGCGTCTTCAGACTTGTCCACGCAACCCAGGCTTCCTCGCAGTTGTCCAGCACATGATGGTAGTCCGCGTTCATGTGCAGCAGCATCATACCAAACGCGACGTTGCTTGCCTTGACGTAGTCATCGGACGCTCGCGGGTCGGTGAAAGTCGGAGTCACTTCACGGTTGACGACGTGCCAGACGGACTTCGTCAAAAACACACCGCGCATGTACCGGCCCCACGTTGCGTAATTGTCTCCGTTGAACTTGTCAATGGAGGCGTTGCTGGTGGACGACATGGCGCTTGGGCTCATAACCTGTTGCATTGTAGATCGGAGCGAGGAAAGCGGAGCGAACGGAGCGGAGAGACCGAAGAGAGTAGAGCAGAAAACACTTGCCCAATAGTTGGAAGATTCGAAAGTGATTGATTATCGGGGCTTACTACTTACTACATGATTTATATGTGGTGTACATATAAATCATGTGAAGCGTCTCATCATCCTACGCGTCTAATCAACTATGGTAATTACCGTAAGAACTACGTCGTAAATACTAAGCTGAACAGGCGGTTCGGATTGGATCGGTCACGGTTACCAATACTGGTAGAAAACCGATGACCGTCAACACCGATCGTGACAATAGTCCTAATGGCACGCTCTGCTGTTCCGTGTGTTTGATGTGCATACGGCACCGTTGTCTGCTGTTCAGTGCCTTCGTCTTCGTAGAACAGTTGAAGCGAGTTGGTTGCAAACTCGCGAGCTCCGTCGTGTCGCACGAACTTGACCTTCTTACAGAATTGCGTCTGTACCATGGTGATATATTTCCGGATGTAGTCTTCACTCTCGGACTTCACTCGTAGACAAAAGCCCTTCATGCATCCACTGGCTTCGTCGATGATCAGCAGCAAATATTTGCTGCCACCGAGCGAATCCTTTTCCATGGGCCCGCAGATGTCCAGATGAAGTAGCTCAAACGTATCGTAGCTGCGCTTGTCTCGGTTGCTTGGAAATGGTTTTTGGACCATTTTCCCTTGTTGACATCCTCGACATGTAGTTGCTCCACCCGACTTGAGAGGGACTCGCACATCCTTGATCATGTTGGTCGCGATCATCTTGCGAAGTACATCGACTGGAGCATGACCCATTCTCGCATGTAGATCGGCACAACTGGTTCCACTTGTTGTCACATTAGCTGATCGTTGAGTCGTCCGAAGCCAGTAGAGTCCATCCACGAGATCCGCTGTCGCCACCACTTGCTGTGAGTTCTTGAGAGTCACATACATCTTGGACCCGTCAAACACGACTTGAAACTTGCCATGGCTGTTAATCTGTGGCACCGAGAGCAGGTTCTTGCTCATACTTGGAACATATAGCGCGTTCTTGATTTCGATCTCACGCTCTTCACCGTTGGGCAGAACCACCTTTTCCATGATGGTTCCCACACCCTTGATGGCCACCTTGTTGCCATCAGCCACCAAGAGTTCGCCCTCATTGCGCTCTGCCAAACTTGCGAACTTGGTCTTGTCGTGGCAAATGTTGTGCGTTGCACCACTGTCGACGGCCCACATTCCAGACACGTCCTTGCTCGTCGAAACTCCACATTCGAACGAGACTGCAAACGCCACTCGATCGTAGCCATTGCCTTCATCATGATGTCCCCACTGGACATTGTTAGCCCCGCGTCCACGACCATTGCCGCCGCGTCGGGCTCCCCGACCTTCGTTCTTCTGCTTTGTCCAGCAACGATCCACCGTGTGTCCCACCTTGCCACAATACGTGCATTGGTAGGGCTCACGCTCGGCGCTGAATGCCTTGCTTGCATCTTCAGCCTTCACCGTAGTCGCTGTCGTTGTCCCTTTTTCTCCTTGACGCTTGGCATGCTCATTCGTCAGGACTCTCACCACATCTTGAGTGCGAAGCTCGGTGCTGCTCATTTCCATGTTGAGCACCACATTTTCGTAGCTCTTCGGAAGACTGAGTAGCAGACAAATTGCAACGTCTTCGTCTTCCATCTTCGCACCGATGCCGCTAAGCTTGGCGGAGATGTTAAGGACCTCGTTGCAGTGATGCATGACGTTCGCGCCTTCAGCCATCTTGATACTGAAAAGTTGTCGCTTGAGGTAGATGCGTCCTGCCTTCTGCGACCCACCGTACAGCGTCTTCAGACTTGTCCACGCAACCCAGGCTTCCTTGCAGTTGTCCAGCACATGACGGTAGTCCGCGTTCATGTGCAGCAGCATCATACCAAACGCGACGTTGCTTGCCTTGACGTAGTCATCAGACGCTCGCGGGTCGGTGAAAGTCGGAGTCACTTCACGGTTGACGACGTGCCAGACGGACTTCGTCAAAAACACACCGCGCATGTACCGGCCCCACGTTGCGTAATTGTCTCCGTTGAACTTTTCAATGGAGGCGTTGCTGGTGGACGACATGGCGCTTGGGCTCATAACCTGTTGCATTGTAGATCGGAGCGAGGAAAGCGGAGCGAACGGAGCGGAGAGACCGAAGAGAGTAGAGCAGAAAACACTTGCCCAATAGTTGGAAGATTCAAAAGTGATTGATTATCGGGGCTTACTACTTACTACATGATTTATATGTGGTGTACATATAAATCATGTGAAGCGTCTCATCATCCTACGCGTCTAATCAACTATGGTAATTACCGTAAGAACTACGTCGTATTAATACTAAGCTGAACAGGCGGTTCGGATTGGATCGGTCACGGTTACCAACACTGGTAGGAAACCGATGACCGTCAACAAGCTGGCGAACGTTTGTGCTGACCCCTAAGGAAAAGAGATCGAAATGGGATCCGAAGGCTCGTAAAGGACGATTCATGGGGTACGAAGAAGTGTCAAAGGCATATCGCGTTTGCGACATTGAAGCGGACCAAGTGGTGATATCTCGCAATGCCACATTCGACGAATCAACGTTTGGTTTCTCGCCGACGCTACCACAAGAAATTGTTGATGACACTGCGCTGGATATCGAATCGATGGACATCAGCGATGAGCCTCACCCCATGCAGTTCAAGCAAACTGGAAAACGCAAAAGCCGTTCAAACAGCCAAGAACAAGTTCTACAACGGACACTTCCTGAGCGTCGTGGAACCGGGTTAGAAGAATCAAGTGCCCCGGATGACTCTGAATCGCACCAAGCCAAGCGACGGTCATGCGCTCGAGTCAATCTGGACAAAGAGCGAAATGTCAGTGACGAAGATAACGAGGATGCTAAACCTCAAGTCTTTTGGAGAGCGAGTGCCAATGCAGTCGAAGGTACTGACTTGTCTGAGCTGACAACGTTTAAAGATGCTGTTGATGGAGCAGATCAAGTGCATTGGCGTAAAGCAATCTGTGCCGAGTTGGACTCGATGAAACTTCGTGGCGTGTTTCGAGCGACCAAACTGCCAGCTGGACAGCATACCATTGGCACCAAGTGGGTATTCAAGATCAAGCGGAAAGCTGATGGATCCATCGAGAAATACAAAGCGCGTCTCGTGGCAAAAGGGTTCAAGCCGAAATATGGCATCGAGTACACGGAAACGTTTTTGCCGGTAGTCAAGTACGTGACGCTGCGCATGGTGGTTGCAATCACGAAGTACTTTGACTGGACACTGGACCAACTGGACGTGGTGACAGCTTTCCTATACAGAGAGATGAAGGAAAAGGTATTCTGCGCGATTCCAGAAGGAGTCGAAGTTGATGAAGACTTTGACTGCTTTGAACTGGTCAAGGCGATCTACGGACTAAAACAAGCATCGCGCGTATGGAACGAGACTTTTCATGAGTTCGTCTGCTCCATTGGATTTCAAGTCTCCGATTTTGACCAGTGTCTTTATCTCAAGATTACAAGTGGCGAGTGCATGCTTTTGCTGTTATACGTCGATGATGTGTTGGTGACTGGCAGCTCGACCGTACTGATCATGCGCACCAAGAGTGACTTAAAGGCGCGTTTTGGAATGACTGACAGCGGCAAGTGCGCATTCGTGTTGGGCATCGAGCTGGTGGACAACGACAACGGTAGCGTGACGATGTGCCAGCGACGCTACGTGGAAGATGTTCTCAATCTTTTGGCATGAGCAATTGCAAAGCCGTCACCAGCCCAACAGACATCAGTTCTCGACTCATACCAAGCACCGCAGCAACCAAAATCGACGCCCCGTTTTGTGAAGCAGTAGGCGCTTTGATGCACTTGATGACCGCGACACGACCGGACATTGCCTTTGCTGTGAGTTACATTTCGCACTTCATGGAAAACCCCCAAGTCGAGCATTGGATGGAGGTCAAGCGCGTTCTGCTACACTTACAAGGGACTAAGTCGCACGGCATCTGTTTCAAGTCTGATGACAAGATAGACTTCTGCGGCTACTCAGATGCAGACTGGGCCGGCGACCATGCAGACTGCAAGTCGACTTCGGGATATGCGTTCATCCTGATGGGTGCTCCGGTGAGCTGGGGAAGCAAAACGCAGTCAAGTGTGTTGCTTTCAACAAGTGAAGCTGAGTACATTGCACTAAGTCTGGCGATTCAAGAAGGCAAGTGGGTGCATCGATTGCTGTGCGAAATTCTGGATACCGCAGAGGACAAGTCCGGACCTAAGCTCAAGATCATGGAAGACAACCAATCGTGCACCAAGATGACGAAGAATCCTGTGAACCATGGTCGGGCCAAGCACATCGACATCAAGTACCATCACATTCGTGATGAAGTCAAGCATGGTGATGTCTAGTTGAAGTACTGTGAGACTACGATGATGATGGCGGATATCATGACGAAGGGACTGCCAGGACCGCGTCACAAGGACTTGACGGCAGCGCTCGGCATACACGCTTGTTCGCATTGAGGGGGCGTATTGTGGGTTGACGGTTGAGGTACTGCTATCAGCTACCATGGAAACTGTAAACCTGTCCAAGTCGATCCCGCTTAATTACGGTGAGTTTTTACCAATGATTAGACGCATAGGATGATTGGATGACCTACATGATTTTTGTATCATGATTTATATGTGGACAACATATAAATCAGTGCAGAGATAAATCAGGTAGCTCTAACAAAAACCCACAGATAAATTCACTTCCAATGTTCCTTCTCCTACACAAGTCTTCTTCACTTCGCAGTGTAGATTCTTTCAAGTTCTTCAAGCTTCGTTCTATCGCCCAAGGCTCGTTACATCTTAACACCCCCTTAATAGGTTCCGCTGCGTTATTTTAGCCCAGAGGTTAGTGGCAAAGAGCTTTTCAGTAACGCACTAGAATCGACCGGCGACAATGCCATTTTCAACCCATCTCAGATTGCGCCAAAGTAGCGAGGTAACCGATAATCGAAATCTTAACCCTGTCGAGATGGTAGCCACTCTTGCTGATCGTATTGTTTACCTGGTCGACGTCGCAGCTGTGTCCTTTGACATTCTCCGCCGACATCGACTCACGTCGAAGTGGCGAGGTAGCTGGAAATTAGGAACACGACCCTGTCGAGACCGAAGCCGCTCCTACTTACCTTCCCGTACATCCACTTGACGTCTCTGCTTCTACTGCTGATCTTGCATTTGATGCGGTCGTCTTGATGATTATGCTAACCAACGCTGATGGCCGTGGTCATGTTCTGGTGAGTGATTTTGGTTCTTTTCTCTTTCCTATTCGTGAGTAGGGCCTTTGCCCATTAAAAAATTAAAAACTGATAAGCGCCTATATTACAAGGCTTTACCGTCGCACCGCCTTTCAGGTGGACTTGATTGATTCGTATCAGAGCCTGAAGATAGCGATGCTAATCAAAATACGACGCAATGATGTATTTGAACAAAGCTTTGTGGGTGGGTTGCAATCGCGTCCCCGTTCGTGCAGTTTGTCCAAGAAAGACACGAAATTTGCCATGGTCTGGCGTGAGTGTCACACGAAAGCCGTTAAACGGGACCAGGATATTCCTATCTGCAGCACGATGCGCTTAAATATTCTCAGGACGGGCTGTTTGACCTGCTCGCCCGCGATGTGGCCGAACAGGCTCATGATATCAGTTGCCTCAAGATCGAAAATGCGCTTCGCGACCAGGATATAAATCGTTTGCGCTCCTACCTTAATCCCAATGCTAAGTTCTTAGAAATTTCTAAAGGCTAAAGGTATCTCCTCTCCGGCACCATGACGCTTAACTGGCCCATCTGGTGGACTATGTTTTATGCTTCTGTTGACGGTCATCGGTTTCCTACCAGTGTTGGTAACCGTGACCGGTCCAATCCGAACCGCCTGTTCAGCTTAGTATTTACGACGTAGTTCTTACGGTAATTACCATAGTTGATTAGACGCGTAGGATGATGAGACGCTTCACATGATTTATATGTACACCACATATAAATCATGTAGTAAGTAGTAAGCCCCGATAATCAATCACTTTCGAATCTTCCAACTATTGGGCAAGTGTTTTCTGCTCTACTCTCTTCGGTCTCTCCGCTCCGTTCGCTCCGCTTTCCTCGCTCCGATCTACAATGCAACAGGTTATGAGCCCAAGCGCCATGTCGTCCACCATCAACGCCTCCATTGAAAAGTTCAACGGAGACAATTACGCAACGTGGAGCCGGTACATGCGCGGTGTGTTTTTGACGAAGTCCGTCTGGCACGTCGTCAACCGTGAAGTGACTCCAACTTTCACCGACCCGCGAGCGTCCGATGACTACGTCAAGGCAAGCAACGTCGCGTTTGGTATGATGCTGCTGCACATGAACGCGGACTACCATCATGGGCTGGACAACTGCGAGGAAGCCTGGGTTTCGTGGACAAGTCTGAAGACGCTGTACGGTGGGTCGCAGAAGGCAGGACGCATCTACCTCAAGCTACAACTTTTCAGTATCAAGATGGATGAAGGCGCGAACGTCATGCATCACTGCAACGAGGTCCTCAACATCTCCGCCAAGCTTAGCGGCATCGGTGCGAAGATGGAAGACGAAGACGTTGCAATTTGTCTGCTACTCAGTCTTCCGAAGAGCTACGAAAATGTGGTGCTCAACATGGAAATGAGCAGCACCGAGCTTCGCACTCAAGATGTGGTGAGAGTCCTGACGAATGAGCATGCCAAGCGTCAAGGAGAAAAAGGGACAACGACAGCGACTACGGTGAAGGCTGAAGATGCAAGCAAGGCATTCAGCGCCGAGCGTGAGCCCTACCAATGCACGTATTGTGGCAAGGTGGGACACACGGTGGATCGTTGCTGGACAAAGCAGAAGAACGAAGGTCGGGGAGCCCGACGCGGCGGCAATGGTCGTGGACGCGGGGGCTAACAATGTCCAGTGGGGACATCATGATGAAGGCAATGGCTACGATCGAGTGGCGTTTGCAGTCTCGTTCGAATGTGGAGTTTCGACGAGCAAGGACGTGTCTGGAATGTGGGCGGTCGACAGTGGTGCAACGCACCACATTTGCCACGACAAGACCAAGTTCGCAAGTTTGGCAGAGCGCAATGAGGGCGAACTCTTGGTGGCTGATGGCAACAAGGTGGCCATCAAGGGTGTGGGAACCATCATGGAAAAGGTGGTTCTGCCCAACGGTGAAGAGCGTGAGATCGAAATCAAGAACGCGCTATATGTTCCAAGTATGAGCAAGAACCTGCTCTCGGTGCCACAGATTAACAGCCATGGCAAGTTTCAAGTCGTGTTTGACGGGTCCAAGATGTATGTGACTCTCAAGAACTCACAGCAAGTGGTGGCGACAGCGGATCTCGTGGATGGACTCTACTGGCTTCGGACGACTCAACGATCAGCTAATGTGACAACAAGTGGAACCAGTTGTGCCGATCTACATGCGAGAATGGGTCATGCTCCAGTCGATATACTTCGCAAGATGATCGCGACCAACATGATCAAAGATGTGGGAGTACCTCTCGAGTCAAGTGGATCAGGTACATATCGAGGATGTCAGCAAGGGGAAATGGTCCAAAAACCATACCCAAGCAATCGTGACAAGCGCAGCTACGATACGTTTGAGCTACTTCATCTGGACATCTGCGGGCCCATGGAAAAGGATTCGCTCGGTGGCAGCAAATATTTGCTGCTGATCATCGACGAAGCCAGTGGATGCATGAAGGGCTTTTGTCTACGAGTGAAGTCCGAGAGTGAAGACTACATCCGGAAATATATCACCATGGTACAGACGCAATTCTGTAAGAAGGTCAAGTTCGTGCGACACGACGGAGCTCGCGAGTTTGCAACCAACTCGCTTCAACTGTTCTACAAAGACGAAGGCATTGAACAGCAGACAACGGTGTCGTATGCACATCAAACAAACGGAACAGCAGAGCGTGCCATTAGGACTATTGTCACGATCGGTGTTGACGGTCATCGATTTTCTACCAGTATTGGTAACCGTGACCGATCCAATCCGGAACCGCCTGTTCAGCTTAGTATTTACGACGTAGTTCTTACGGTAATTACCATAGTTGATTAGACGCGTAGGATGATGAGACGCTTCACATGATTTATATGTACACCACATATAAATCATGTAGTAAGTAGTAAGCCCCGATAATCAATCACTTTCGAATCTTCCAACTATTGGGCAAGTGTTTTCTGCTCTACTCTCTTCGGTCTCTCCGCTCCGTTCGCTCCGCTTTCCTCGCTCCGATCTACAATGCAACAGGTTATGAGCCCAAGCGCCATGTCGTCCACCATCAACGCCTCCATTGAAAAGTTCAACGGAGACAATTACGCAACGTGGAGCCGGTACATGCGCGGTGTGTTTTTGACGAAGTCCGTCTGGCACGTCGTCAACCGTGAAGTGACTCCGACTTTCACCGACCCGCGAGCGTCCGATGACTACGTCAAGGCAAGCAACGTCGCGTTTGGTATGATGCTGCTGCACATGAACGCGGACTACCATCATGGGCTGGACAACTGCGAGGAAGCCTGGGTTTCGTGGACAAGTCTGAAGACGCTGTACGGTGGGTCGCAGAAGGCAGGACGCATCTACCTCAAGCTACAACTTTTCAGTATCAAGATGGATGAAGGCGCGAACGTCATGCATCACTGCAACGAGGTCCTCAACATCTCCTCCAAGCTTAGCGGCATCGGTGCGAAGATGGAAGACGAAGACGTTGCAATTTGTCTGCTACTCAGTCTTCCGAAGAGCTACGAAAATGTTGTGCTCAACATGGAAATGAGCAGCACCGAGCTTCGCACTCAAGATGTGGTGAGAGTCCTGACGAATGAGCATGCCAAGCGTCAAGGAGAAAAAGGGACAACGACAGCGACTACGGTGAAGGCTGAAGATGCAAGCAAGGCATTCAGCGCCGAGCGTGAGCCCTACCAATGCACGTATTGTGGCAAGGTGGGACACACGGTGGATCGTTGCTGGACAAAGCAGAAGAACGAAGGTCGGGGAGCCCGACGCGGCGGCAATGGTCGTGGACGCGGGGGCTAACAATGTCCAGTGGGGACATCATGATGAAGGCAATGGCTACGATCGAGTGGCGTTTGCAGTCTCGTTCGAATGTGGAGTTTCGACGAGCAAGGACGTGTCTGGAATGTGGGCGGTCGACAGTGGTGCAACGCACCACATTTGCCACGACAAGACCAAGTTCGCAAGTTTGGCAGAGCGCAATGAGGGCGAACTCTTGGTGGCTGATGGCAACAAGGTGGCCATCAAGGGTGTGGGAACCATCATGGAAAAGGTGGTTCTGCCCAACGGTGAAGAGCGTGAGATCGAAATCAAGAACGCGCTATATGTTCCAAGTATGAGCAAGAACCTGCTCTCGGTGCCACAGATTAACAGCCATGGCAAGTTTCAAGTCGTGTTTGACGGGTCCAAGATGTATGTGACTCTCAAGAACTCACAGCAAGTGGTGGCGACAGCGGATCTCGTGGATGGACTCTACTGGCTTCGGACGACTCAACGATCAGCTAATGTGACAACAAGTGGAACCAGTTGTGCCGATCTACATGCGAGAATGGGTCATGCTCCAGTCGACGTGCTTTGCAAGATGGTCTCCAACAACATGATCAAAGATGTGGGAGTACCTCTCGAGTCAAGTGGATCAGGTACATATCGAGGATGTCAGCAAGGGGAAATGGTCCAAAAACCATACCCAAGCAATCGTGACAAGCGCAGCTACGATACGTTTGAGCTACTTCATCTGGACATCTGCGGACCCATGGAAAAGGATTCGCTCGGTGGCAGCAAATATTTGCTGCTGATCATCGACGAAGCCAGTGGATGCATGAAGGGCTTTTGTCTACGAGTGAAGTCCGAGAGTGAAGACTACATCCGGAAATATATCACCATGGTACAGACGCAATTCTGTAAGAAGGTCAAGTTCGTGCGACACGACGGAGCTCGCGAGTTTGCAACCAACTCGCTTCAACTGTTCTACGAAGACGAAGGCATTGAACAGCAGACAACGGTGCCGTATGCACATCAAACAAACGGAACAGCAGAGCGTGCCATTAGGACTATTGTCACGATCGGCCGCAGCATGCTTCATCATGCCAAACTGGACAAGTGTTTCTGGGCCGAAGCAGCGATGACGGCCATCTACGTCAAGAATCGACTGCCGTCACCTAAAGTCGTGCACAAGACCCCGTTTGAGATCGTCTACAACTTGAAACCAAGCGTCAAGCACATGCGAACATTCGGGTGTCAGACATACATACTGACGCCTAAAGAGAATCGACTCAAGTGGGATCCAAAGGCTCGCGCTGGCATATTCGTGGGCTACGAAGAAGTTTCGAAGGCATATCGTGTTTATGACATCGAGGCGGGGCAGGTGGTTATCAGCCGCGATGTCAACTTCGACGAGTCCACCTATGGACTTCAACTGCCGATCACTGATGAAGATGTCGATGACCTGGACTTCGAATTGCTGGATCTTGATGACGAAGAGCTGCGTCAAATGGAGTACAAGCAAACAGGCAAGCGCAAGAACCGACTCAATGATGAAGATACAGCAGCTCCACGACCGCGTGCAGTGCGTCAACGACCAGGACTAGAAGAGTCAAGCGCGCCGGAAAACAACTCGTCACGCCAAGAAGAAGACGAAGAAACGAAGGATTCTGGTGATTCAACACCGCCTGTGTTTTGGCGTGCGAGTGCAAATGCCGTTGAAGCAGCAGTGGACTTATCAGAGCCCTCAACATTTGAAGCAGCAGTAAGCGGCCCTGACCAAGTGCACTGGAGAAAAGCAATTCATGCAGAGCTCGAGTCAATGCGACTTCGCGGTGTGTTTCGTGCAGCCAAGCTGCCCAACGGACAACGCGCCATTGGCACAAAATGGGTGTTCAAGATCAAGCGCAAGGCGGATGGGTCAATCGAGAAGTACAAGGCACGACTTGTGGACAAGGGTTTCCGCCAAAAGTATGGCATCGACTACACGGAGACGTTTTCGCCCGTGGTCAAGCATGTGACGCTGCGAAAGATGATCGCAATTTCCAAGCATTTTGGATGGCCCATCGACCAGCTTGATGTGATGACAGCTTTCCTGTATGGCGTCATGAAGGAACAAGTGTTCTGCGTGATTCCTGAAGGCGTCGAACTTGACAGTACGTTCGACTGCCTGGAATTGGTGAAGGCAATTTACGGCCTGAAGCAAGCTTTGCGAGTATGGAACGAGACTTTTGACGAGTGTGTGTTCCATTGGATTTCAAGTGCCAGGCTTCGACCCATGTCTCTACATCAAGACTTCGGACGGCCATTGCGTGTTTATACTGGTCTATGTGGATGACGTGTTGGTGACAGGAAGCTCACCCAAGTTGATTGCACACACCAAGGAAGACCTGAAGACACGCTTCGAGATGACTGATAGCGGCAAGTGTGCATTTGTTCTTGGAATTGAGCTTTTGGACGGTGAAGATGGCAGTGTGACACTATGTCAGCGTCGGTATGTCGATGATATCCTCAAGCGCTTTGGCATGGATGATTGCAAGGCAGTCGCAAGTCCAGTCGACATGAGCTCTCGACTTGTTTCAAGTGATGCAACTACCAAGGTCGATGCTCCTTTTCGCGAAGCTGTTGGTGCGTTGATGCACCTGACCACTGCAACGCGTCCGGACATTGCGTTTGCTGTGGGCTATGTGTCGCGGTTCATGGAAAATCCCCAAGAAGAACACTGGGTTGCAGTTAAGCGTATCTTTCGCTACCTACAAGGCACCAAGACGCATGGAATTTGCTACAAGCCAAGTGCAAGGATCGACTTCCGTGGATATTCGGATGCGGATTGGGCTGGTGATCTTACCGACCGTAAGTCAACATCGGGGTACACGTTCATGCTACTCGGTGCGCCAGTCAGTTGGGGCAGCAAGAAGCAGCCAACTGTTTCGTTGTCCACGACTGAAGCTGAATACATCGCACTCAGCTTGGCGATTCAAGAGGGCAAGTGGATTCATCGTCTGCTTTGTGAGATCGTGATGGCTGCCAATGAAGAAGGACCGGAACTCATGATTCATGAAGACAATCAGTCATGTATCAAGATGACGAAGAACCCAGTCAACCACGGCCGTGCCAAGCACATTGATATCAAGTACCATCACATCCGTGATGAGGTCAAGCGCGGTGAAGTGAAGCTCAAGTACTGTGAAACTGCGGTGATGTTAGCGGACATCATGACGAAGGGACTTCATGGACCACGCCACAAGGAGATGACGACGGCTCTCGGGATTCGTGAGCATTCGGATTGAGGGGGCGTGTTGACGGTCATCGGTTTCCTACCAGTATTGGTAACCGTGACCGATCCAATCCGAACCGCCTGTTCAGCTTAGTATTTACGACGTAGTTCTTACGGTAATTACCATAGTTGATTAGACGCGTAGGATGATGAGACGCTTCACATGATTTATATGTACACCACATATAAATCATGTAGTAAGTAGTAAGCCCCGATAATCAATCACTTTCGAATCTTCCAACTATTGGGCAAGTGTTTTCTGCTCTACTCTCTTCGGTCTCTCCGCTCCGTTCGCTCCGCTTTCCTCGCTCCGATCTACAATGCAACAGGTTATGAGCCCAAGCGCCATGTCGTCCACCATCAACGCCTCCATTGAAAAGTTCAACGGAGACAATTACGCAACGTGGAGCCGGTACATGCGCGGTGTGTTTTTGACGAAGTCCGTCTGGCACGTCGTCAACCGTGAAGTGACTCCAACTTTCACCGACCCGCGAGCGTCCGATGACTACGTCAAGGCAAGCAACGTCGCGTTTGGTATGATGCTGCTGCACATGAACGCGGACTACCATCATGGGCTGGACAACTGCGAGGAAGCCTGGGTTTCGTGGACAAGTCTGAAGACGCTGTACGGTGGGTCGCAGAAGGCAGGACGCATCTACCTCAAGCTACAACTTTTCAGTATCAAGATGGATGAAGGCGCGAACGTCATGCATCACTGCAACGAGGTCCTCAACATCTCCGCCAAGCTTAGCGGCATCGGTGCGAAGATGGAAGACGAAGACGTTGCAATTTGTCTGCTACTCAGTCTTCCGAAGAGCTACGAAAATGTTGTGCTCAACATGGAAATGAGCAGCACCGAGCTTCGCACTCAAGATGTGGTGAGAGTCCTGACGAATGAGCATGCCAAGCGTCAAGGAGAAAAAGGGACAACGACAGCGACTACGGTGAAGGCTGAAGATGCAAGCAAGGCATTCAGCGCCGAGCGTGAGCCCTACCAATGCACGTATTGTGGCAAGGTGGGACACACGGTGGATCGTTGCTGGACAAAGCAGAAGAACGAAGGTCGGGGAGCCCGACGCGGCGGCAATGGTCGTGGACGCGGGGCTAACAATGTCCAGTGGGGACATCATGATGAAGGCAATGGCTACGATCGAGTGGCGTTTGCAGTCTCGTTCGAATGTGGAGTTTCGACGAGCAAGGACGTGTCTGGAATGTGGGCGGTCGACAGTGGTGCAACGCACCACATTTGCCACGACAAGACCAAGTTCGCAAGTTTGGCAGAGCGCAATGAGGGCGAACTCTTGGTGGCTGATGGCAACAAGGTGGCCATCAAGGGTGTGGGAACCATCATGGAAAAGGTGGTTCTGCCCAACGGTGAAGAGCGTGAGATCGAAATCAAGAACGCGCTATATGTTCCAAGTATGAGCAAGAACCTGCTCTCGGTGCCACAGATTAACAGCCATGGCAAGTTTCAAGTCGTGTTTGACGGGTCCAAGATGTATGTGACTCTCAAGAACTCACAGCAAGTGGTGGCGACAGCGGATCTCGTGGATGGACTCTACTGGCTTCGGACGACTCAACGATCAGCTAATGTGACAACAAGTGGAACCAGTTGTGCCGATCTACATGCGAGAATGGGTCATGCTCCAGTCGATATACTTCGCAAGATGATCGCGACCAACATGATCAAAGATGTGGGAGTACCTCTCGAGTCAAGTGGATCAGGTACATATCGAGGATGTCAGCAAGGGGAAATGGTCCAAAAACCATACCCAAGCAATCGTGACAAGCGCAGCTACGATACGTTTGAGCTACTTCATCTGGACATCTGCGGGCCCATGGAAAAGGATTCGCTCGGTGGCAGCAAATATTTGCTGCTGATCATCGACGAAGCCAGTGGATGCATGAAGGGCTTTTGTCTACGAGTGAAGTCCGAGAGTGAAGACTACATCCGGAAATATATCACCATGGTACAGACGCAATTCTGTAAGAAGGTCAAGTTCGTGCGACACGACGGAGCTCGCGAGTTTGCAACCAACTCGCTTCAACTGTTCTACAAAGACGAAGGCATTGAACAGCAGACAACGGTGTCGTATGCACATCAAACACACGGAACAGCAGAGCGTGCCATTAGGACTATTGTAACGATCGGTGTTGACGGTCATCGATTTTCTACCAGTATTGGTAACCGTGACCGATCCAATCCGAACCGCCTGTTCAGCTTAGTATTTACGACGTAGTTCTTACGGTAATTACCATAGTTGATTAGACGCGTAGGATGATGAGACGCTTCACATGATTTATATGTACACCACATATAAATCATGTAGTAAGTAGTAAGCCCCGATAATCAATCACTTTCGAATCTTCCAACTATTGGGCAAGTGTTTTCTGCTCTACTCTCTTCGGTCTCTCCGCTCCGTTCGCTCCGCTTTCCTCGCTCCGATCTACAATGCAACAGGTTATGAGCCCAAGCGCCATGTCGTCCACCATCAACGCCTCCATTGAAAAGTTCAACGGAGACAATTACGCAACGTGGAGCCGGTACATGCGCGGTGTGTTTTTGACGAAGTCCGTCTGGCACGTCGTCAACCGTGAAGTGACTCCAACTTTCACCGACCCGCGAGCGTCCGATGACTACGTCAAGGCAAGCAACGTCGCGTTTGGTATGATGCTGCTGCACATGAACGCGGACTACTATCATGGGCTGGACAACTGCGAGGAAGCCTGGGTTTCGTGGACAAGTCTGAAGACGCTGTACGGTGGGTCGCAGAAGGCAGGACGCATCTACCTCAAGCTACAACTTTTCAGTATCAAGATGGATGAAGGCGCGAACGTCATGCATCACTGCAACGAGGTCCTCAACATCTCCTCCAAGCTTAGCGGCATCGGTGCGAAGATGGAAGACGAAGACGTTGCAATTTGTCTGCTACTCAGTCTTCCGAAGAGCTACGAAAATGTGGTGCTCAACATGGAAATGAGCAGCACCGAGCTTCGCACTCAAGATGTGGTGAGAGTCCTGACGAATGAGCATGCCAAGCGTCAAGGAGAAAAAGGGGACAACGACAGCGACTACGGTGAAGGCTGAAGATGCAAGCAAGGCATTCAGCGCCGAGCGTGAGCCCTACCAATGCACGTATTGTGGCAAGGTGGGACACACGGTGGATCGTTGCTGGACAAAGCAGAAGAACGAAGGTCGGGGAGCCCGACGCGGCGGCAATGGTCGTGGACGCGGGGCTAACAATGTCCAGTGGGGACATCATGATGAAGGCAATGGCTACGATCGAGTGGCGTTTGCAGTCTCGTTCGAATGTGGAGTTTCGACGAGCAAGGACGTGTCTGGAATGTGGGCGGTCGACAGTGGTGCAACGCACCACATTTGCCACGACAAGACCAAGTTCGCAAGTTTGGCAGAGCGCAATGAGGGCGAACTCTTGGTGGCTGATGGCAACAAGGTGGCCATCAAGGGTGTGGGAACCATCATGGAAAAGGTGGTTCTGCCCAACGGTGAAGAGCGTGAGATCGAAATCAAGAACGCGCTATATGTTCCAAGTATGAGCAAGAACCTGCTCTCGGTGCCACAGATTAACAGCCATGGCAAGTTTCAAGTCGTGTTTGACGGGTCCAAGATGTATGTGACTCTCAAGAACTCACAGCAAGTGGTGGCGACAGCGGATCTCGTGGATGGACTCTACTGGCTTCGGACGACTCAACGATCAGCTAATGTGACAACAAGTGGAACCAGTTGTGCCGATCTACATGCGAGAATGGGTCATGCTCCAGTCGATATACTTCGCAAGATGATCGCGACCAACATGATCAAAGATGTGGGAGTACCTCTCGAGTCAAGTGGATCAGCTACATATCGAGGATGTCAGCAAGGGGAAATGGTCCAAAAACCATACCCAAGCAATCGTGACAAGCGCAGCTACGATACGTTTGAGCTACTTCATCTGGACATCTGCGGACCCATGGAAAAGGATTCGCTCGGTGGCAGCAAATATTTGCTGCTGATCATCGACGAAGCCAGTGGATGCATGAAGGGCTTTTGTCTACGAGTGAAGTCCGAGAGTGAAGACTACATCCGGAAATATATCACCATGGTACAGACGCAATTCTGTAAGAAGGTCAAGTTCGTGCGACACGACGGAGCTCGCGAGTTTGCAACCAACTCGCTTCAACTGTTCTACGAAGACGAAGGCATTGAACAGCAGACAACGGTGCCGTATGCACATCAAACAAACGGAACAGCAGAGCGTGCCATTAGGACTATTGTCACGATCGGCCGCAGCATGCTTCATCATGCCAAACTGGACAAGTGTTTCTGGGCCGAAGCAGCGATGACGGCCATCTACGTCAAGAATCGACTGCCGTCACCTAAAGTCGTGCACAAGACCCCGTTTGAGATCGTCTACAACTTGAAACCAAGCGTCAAGCACATGCGAACATTCGGGTGTCAGACATACATACTGACGCCTAAAGAGAATCGACTCAAGTGGGATCCAAAGGCTCGCGCTGGCATATTCGTGGGCTACGAAGAAGTTTCGAAGGCATATCGTGTTTATGACATCGAGGCGGGGCAGGTGGTTATCAGCCGCGATGTCAACTTCGACGAGTCCACCTATGGACTTCAACTGCCGATCACTGATGAAGATGTCGATGACCTGGACTTCGAATTGCTGGATCTTGATGACGAAGAGCTGCGTCAAATGGAGTACAAGCAAACAGGCAAGCGCAAGAACCGACTCAATGATGAAGATACAGCAGCTCCACGACCGCGTGCAGTGCGTCAACGACCAGGACTAGAAGAGTCAAGCGCGCCGGAAAACAACTCGTCACGCCAAGAAGAAGACGAAGAAACGAAGGATTCTGGTGATTCAACACCGCCTGTGTTTTGGCGTGCGAGTGCAAATGCCGTTGAAGCAGCAGTGGACTTATCAGAGCCCTCAACATTTGAAGCAGCAGTAAGCGGCCCTGACCAAGTGCACTGGAGAAAAGCAATTCATGCAGAGCTCGAGTCAATGCGACTTCGCGGTGTGTTTCGTGCAGCCAAGCTGCCCAACGGACAACGCGCCATTGGCACAAAATGGGTGTTCAAGATCAAGCGCAAGGCGGATGGGTCAATCGAGAAGTACAAGGCACGACTTGTGGACAAGGGTTTCCGCCAAAAGTATGGAATCGACTACACGGAGACGTTTTCGCCCGTGGTCAAGCATGTGACGCTGCGAAAGATGATCGCAATTTCCAAGCATTTTGGATGGCCCATCGACCAGCTTGATGTGATGACAGCTTTCCTGTATGGCGTCATGAAGGAACAAGTGTTCTGCGTGATTCCTGAAGGCGTCGAACTTGACAGTACGTTCGACTGCCTGGAATTGGTGAAGGCAATTTACGGCCTGAAGCAAGCTTTGCGAGTATGGAACGAGACTTTTGACGAGTGTGTGTTCCATTGGATTTCAAGTGCCAGGCTTCGACCCATGTCTCTACATCAAGACTTCGGACGGCCATTGCGTGTTTATACTGGTCTATGTGGATGACGTGTTGGTGACAGGAAGCTCACCCAAGTTGATTGCACACACCAAGGAAGACCTGAAGACACGCTTCGAGATGACTGATAGCGGCAAGTGTGCATTTGTTCTTGGAATTGAGCTTTTGGACGGTGAAGATGGCAGTGTGACACTATGTCAGCGTCGGTATGTCGATGATATCCTCAAGCGCTTTGGCATGGATGATTGCAAGGCAGTCGCAAGTCCAGTCGACATGAGCTCTCGACTTGTTTCAAGTGATGCAACTACCAAGGTCGATGCTCCTTTTCGCGAAGCTGTTGGTGCGTTGATGCACCTGACCACTGCAACGCGTCCGGACATTGCGTTTGCTGTGGGCTATGTGTCGCGGTTCATGGAAAATCCCCAAGAAGAACACTGGGTTGCAGTTAAGCGTATCTTTCGCTACCTACAAGGCACCAAGACGCATGGAATTTGCTACAAGCCAAGTGCAAGGATCGACTTCCGTGGATATTCGGATGCGGATTGGGCTGGTGATCTTACCGACCGCAAGTCAACATCGGGGTACACGTTCATGCTACTCGGTGCGCCAGTCAGTTGGGGCAGCAAGAAGCAGCCAAGTGTTTCGTTGTCCACGACTGAAGCTGAATACATCGCACTCAGCTTGGCGATTCAAGAGGGCAAGTGGATTCATCGTCTGCTTTGTGAGATCGTGATGGCTGCCAATGAAGAAGGACCGGAACTCATGATTCATGAAGACAATCAGTCATGTATCAAGATGACGAAGAACCCAGTCAACCACGGCCGTGCCAAGCACATTGATATCAAGTACCATCACATCCGTGATGAGGTCAAGCGCGGTGAAGTGAAGCTCAAGTACTGTGAAACTGCGGTGATGTTAGCGGACATCATGACGAAGGGACTTCATGGACCACGCCACAAGGAGATGACGACGGCTCTCGGGATTCGTGAGCATTCGGATTGAGGGGCGTGTTGACGGTCATCGGTTTCCTACCAGTATTGGTAACCGTGACCGATCCAATCCGAACCGCCTGTTCAGCTTAGTATTTACGACGTAGTTCTTACGGTAATTACCATAGTTGATTAGACGCGTAGGATGATGAGACGCTTCACATGATTTATATGTACACCACATATAAATCATGTAGTAAGTAGTAAGCCCCGATAATCAATCACTTTCGAATCTTCCAACTATTGGGCAAGTGTTTTCTGCTCTACTCTCTTCGGTCTCTCCGCTCCGTTCGCTCCGCTTTCCTCGCTCCGATCTACAATGCAACAGGTTATGAGCCCAAGCGCCATGTCGTCCACCATCAACGCCTCCATTGAAAAGTTCAACGGAGACAATTACGCAACGTGGAGCCGGTACATGCGCGGTGTGTTTTTGACGAAGTCCGTCTGGCACGTCGTCAACCGTGAAGTGACTCCAACTTTCACCGACCCGCGAGCGTCCGATGACTACGTCAAGGCAAGCAACGTCGCGTTTGGTATGATGCTGCTGCACATGAACGCGGACTACCATCATGGGCTGGACAACTGCGAGGAAGCCTGGGTTTCGTGGACAAGTCTGAAGACGCTGTACGGTGGGTCGCAGAAGGCAGGACGCATCTACCTCAAGCTACAACTTTTCAGTATCAAGATGGATGAAGGCGCGAACGTCATGCATCACTGCAACGAGGTCCTCAACATCTCCGCCAAGCTTAGCGGCATCGGTGCGAAGATGGAAGACGAAGACGTTGCAATTTGTCTGCTACTCAGTCTTCCGAAGAGCTACGAAAATGTGGTGCTCAACATGGAAATGAGCAGCACCGAGCTTCGCACTCAAGATGTGGTGAGAGTCCTGACGAATGAGCATGCCAAGCGTCAAGGAGAAAAAAGGGACAACGACAGCGACTACGGTGAAGGCTGAAGATGCAAGCAAGGCATTCAGCGCCGAGCGTGAGCCCCTACCAATGCACGTATTGTGGCAAGGTGGGACACACGGTGGATCGTTGCTGGACAAAGCAGAAGAACGAAGGTCGGGGAGCCCGACGCGGCGGCAATGGTCGTGGACGCGGGGGCTAACAATGTCCAGTGGGGACATCATGATGAAGGCAATGGCTACGATCGAAAGTGGCGTTTGCAGTCTCGTTCGAATGTGGAGTTTCGACGAGCAAGGACGTGTCTGGAATGTGGGCGGTCGACAGTGGTGCAACGCACCACATTTGCCACGACAAGACCAAGTTCGCAAGTTTGGCAAGAGCGCAATGAGGGCGAACTCTTGGTGGCTGATGGCAACAAGGTGGCCATCAAAGGTGTGGGAACCATCATGGAAAAGGTGGTTCTGCCCAACGGTGAAGAGCGTGAGATCGAAATCAAGAACGCGCTATATGTTCCAAGTATGAGCAAGAACCTGCTCTCGGTGCCACAGATTAACAGCCATGGCAAGTTTCAAGTCGTGTTTGACGGGTCCAAGATGTATGTGACTCTCAAGAACTCACAGCAAGTGGTGGCGACAGCGGATCTCGTGGATGGACTCTACTGGCTTCGGACGACTCAACGATCAGCGAATGTGACAACAAGTGGAACCAGTTGTGCCGATCTACATGCGAGAATGGGTCATGCTCCAGTCGATATACTTCGCAAGATGATCGCGACCAACATGATCAAGGATGTGCGAGTCCCTCTCAAGTCGGGGTGGGAGCAACTACATGTCGAGGGATGTCAACAAGGGGAAATGGTCCAAAAACCATTTCCAAGCAACCGAGACAAGCGCAGCTACGATACGTTTGAGCTACTTCATCTGGACATCTGCGGACCCATGGAAAGGATTCGCTCGGTGGCAGCATGTTTGCTGCTGATCATAAACGAAGCCAGTGGATGCATGAAGGGCTTTTGACTCTACAGTGAAGTCCGAGAGTAAAGACTACACATCGGAAATATATCACCATGGTACAGACGCAATTCTGTAAGAAAGGTCAAGTTCATGCGACACGACGGAGCTCGCGAGTTTGCAACCAACTCGCTTCAACTGTTCTACGAAGACGAAGGCATTGAACAGCGAACAAACGTGCCGTATGCACATCAAACAAACAGGAACAGCAGAGTACCGTTAGGACTATTGTCACGATCGGCCTGGCATAACTATCATGCCAAACTGGACAAGTGTTTCTGGGCGGCAGCGATGACGGCCATCTACGTCAGAATCGACTGCCGTACCTAAAGTCGTGCACAAGGCCCGTTTGAGATCGTCTACAACTTGAAACCAAGCGTCAA